CCTAAATTAGAAACTTTTGAAACCACTGTAAAGGTGTTGGATTCTGGACAGAACTTCGCAGTCAAACTGTGTACACTAAGAAGGTTGTAGTTTAGGAGAATGAACAGTGCAGACTCAAGAGGCAGCACATGGTTATCCGCACTCACATACAAGGTGCCTATATAGGTTCCTTTGTTTCCAAAGTGGAATTGGTCACATAAAGTAATGCAAATGTATGCAAAGTGGGTGTCTTTGCATAAGCGTGCATGCATGTGTTTGCATGCATATGCATTTGGGTATGTGGGTGGGTGCAAAAAAGCTTCAAACCACATATATACTAATTAGAATTTTCTCACAGGCCATATCTTACATTAAAACAGCCACCCCTGTATTTATAAAAAATACAGAAAACAGAGCCAGATTTGATCTGTCTTCAAAAGAAATACTGCTGATAGGAGTTTTAGCATCATCTTACTAGGCAATATATGTATTTTGTGCAGTTTTTCTTAAGTTTTCATATTTTTTATGTTTCTTATTTCCTAACTTACATTTTTTAGCTCTTACGTGAAGGTGATTGATAGGAAATTTCACAGTTGCCTCGAGGCTCTTTCTAAATCTAGAGGTTTGTGAATTACATTTAAGTATTCATTTTATTTAACACTAGCTCAGAAAGACAACTCCTGATCACATATTAAAAGTTTACATAGGTAGTTACTCGCCTTTATTTTTCAGAAAATCCTGAGTACCTGGAGCTCCTCCATCACCATTTAACATTGCTCCACCTGTGGATTGAGAGAGACTGAGTTCTGTGTTTACCAGGGCCTTTTCCCACCAAAAACTGAGCGTTGTATTTTCTCTCTAAAACAGAACTTTTGGTTATGTAATACCCGTTACAACATTAAAACACTTGTAATAGCCAATATTTTGACTGTTTTATATAGTTTAAAGTTGTTTTTATGTTTTAAACAGCTCTAGGAAACTGGTGCCATAAGCAGAAACATAAATGCACATGTACATACGGCGCGGGAGGCAATCACTTTCTATCTTGTCATAGGCAAGACAGGAAGGTATGTCCCACAGCAGGGACTGCAGTGTGGATCTTCCTGACACACGTGACGTCCTGGCTGCTGCCCCAGAGCAGCCAACCACCCAAGGAGCCTAACTTTGATGGCGTTTCGCAGCCTTTGGAAGGAGGCCTACGTGGGCTTTGTGAAGAGCAGGAAAACTTGGAGCCGGGACACAGAGCCGCTCCCCAGGAAGCAGCAAGGGGAATCCCATCCAGCCCCCTTACACATACGTATTCCCAGACGAGTAAGTAATGGAGAAGGATCAGCGGTTGCCTTGGAAAAAAGCGTGCACCGACCCCCGACACCAGCTGGGCAGTGAGGACCACATTAGTGGCAGCTGGAGGATGGCAAGAGAGCATAAACCAGATAAGAACAGTCACAGACCCCAGCCAGAGCCTTGCAAATCTTCATGCTCTATTAGCTGCACTCTGGTATTTGTAACTGTGACAAAGTAATACACAGTACAGCTCTTGTCTAGGAGAGTAAATAGTCTGGAGGATTACAGCTGCCCCTACATGCTATTTATTTCATTAATTCATCTACCTCAACGTATAGGAGAAAGGGGGAAGGAGCACAAATATCCTATGTAAGGTTCCAAAGGGTTCTTTAAAATTTTTATTTTAAATTCAAACAAGAATGGAAACAGAAGCAGTTATTACAAAGAGATGTGAAAAAGAAAGTGCTCTACTCTTGCCAAAGGATATTGGATAAGGGATATCTCACTGTCCTTCGGACATGACTGACAAATGCCAGCACACTTGAACTGAGGAAATAAATTCCAAGAGAACTGACTGAAAATATATTTATGGCCACTAAAACACTTAGGTACCTCTTGCCTTAACTTACAGCTTAAATGACACTATGCAGAATTATTGATTTCTGTAAAACAAGTTAACATTTAAACACCATGGTGCAGAAAGTCGTGAAAGTAGATTTGCTATCTTTAAAATCAGATTACAGACAAAAAGGAGTTAGCTGAAGCTCCAGACTGGAGGTACATTTTGACTCAGGAAAGTCCTACTAGAATCATATGGAATCACTTCCCTTCCATGCTGTTGTTTCAACTGAAGTATATTTTAGCATTAATTATGCTAAATCTTGGCATAATCATACTGGGATCAGTATGTTAGGCTGGCTTCACTTTTGATGACTGTGTCCTCATCACAATACCAAGAAAAACTCCATGATTCTGTAAAAAATTATGTGCTTGCTTAGCTTCACCAGAACAGTCTTGTGACTATGAAGAAGGAATTTTTGTGGCAACAAAGCTGTGCAGGTTCATCTGTATTTGCAAAATAAGGGTCTGTTAGGGACAATATTAGCTGCTAGGCCAAGAATTGAAGAACAGAGTCATTTTCTTATTTTATGAAGTTTTCTAAGGTGAGCTGAAGAAATACTCTTCACTATTAGTTTTGTACATAATTAGGGAATTACATATAGAAGTGCCAGCTTTAGGACCTGCTAATCATTTACATCAAGTACTTTTGCAGTATTTTGACCATATAAAATAATCAGTGTATTGAGTTTTTACAGTAGTTAAGGCATATCAGTTGAAATGAGTTGCACCAAATGATGATTGAAACAGAGATTGTTAACTGACTTTTCACAAGCCATAATATTCCAAGACCTGCTCAACAGGTGAAATGTTTGTTCTAAAGGCCTTAAAAACTCCTTGAGCTTTAGGCTTACCCAGTCATACAAATGCATACCTGATTTTGCAGCTGCTCTTGATTTTGCAGGAGAAGTAACAGCAGTAATTAGATTGCACAACACTGTTCCTCTGCTATTCATTTTCTGCAGTTCAGGTGCTTTTAAGGTCCATTCATCTTTCAAATTCTGATTGAGAAAATTAGTTAATTATTCATTACAAAACAGATTTCAGATTTCAAATATTTACTGCAAAGATAGTAATGACCATGATACTTGGGAATCACCTGTAGTACTTAAAACACGCAAAAGAGTTGGGTATGTAAATGGAGACTGCTAGCTCCCCAGTCCCTACTACTGTGCAGTATGGCATGGTAACTGTTAGGCAGGCTCAATTAGTGAATGTGTATAATCACCACTAATAATCATTACTAAAAAATACCCAGAGAACTAAAAATAGAGTATTTTTACTTGTCCTATTGTCTACAGGAAAAAAAAAAAGAAGCACTATTGAATTACAATCAATACTTCCTTATTCCATAAGGTTGCACTTTTATGTTATTAATAGATACCCCACTTCCTATAGCCATATTTTAGCCATATTTTGCTTCCCAAATAAAATAACCTACCAGAGTATCTTCCAAAGGTTTCTTTAACTCCTCCGTATTCAGTGAGGGTCGTGCTGCTGGAATTCTTTCTGTTGTCTCTTTTATCCATTTCTTTAAAGATTGTACAAGGAGCTCAAAAGTATCCATTTGTTTCTGACAAGATGATACGTCCTCTTCTCTAGAGAAAATACAATAAGAGAAATTGAGCACTGTCTGAGCCATAGGAGAGAGGCACCCTGGCCCCTGATGCTCCATCTATTTCCCCATCCGTTGGTCTTATACCCTTGAAGCAGGTGCAGTCTCTTGGTGCCTTCTGACGGGCCTTACAAAGAAGGGAAAAGCCCTCCTCTCTGCTTGCTTTCTTGCTGAAGGTGTGAAGCTGTGCTTCGACACAGCGGTAAAGAGTTAAACTACCCCACAGCCAAACACAGGTCTGCACATGTTGTGGATTCCCTCTAGCAGCTGGGCGTGAGGACAGTGTTTTGGCGTTTATTTTGACAGAGTCACACCTGGAATACCCCGAATCCAAATCCTGTGTCCTCCTGCTGATGTTTTCTCCGGTAAGCTAGGCATCCTTTCCTAGCATTTACCACACTGTAATTTGAAGTGCATAGTGAAAGAAACAGAAAAGCAAAATAATTACGACTGTTAAGTGTTAATAAAAATAGTTTTATTTTTGAATTTTAATAAAAATTCTAGAACTTTTAATTAAAATATTTTATGCCTAAAGTATTTTTTTCTCTTTTGCTCTTGGTTATAAAACAATGATCTGTAGCCATGTATAGTCATACCTGGGCAAAATTTGTATCCACTGATGAGCATTCCCATTCTAATACAGAGCTGCTTTAGTTAACACACAGCCAGGCCAGATCCTGCATCTTTTCACACTGGAAAAAAAGATGCCCAGAGCAGGTACACGTCATTTATTACTCAAGGTCAAACAGTAAGTCAGGTACAACCTAGAATAGCAGCGATGTCTTGTGACTCTAACCGCTAGAAAATGCCATCTCCTGTAATTTGATTGTGCACAGTCTCACCTGGATCATTGCAGTGTGTTTTGTTTCTTGCCGTGTGCCTTTCCGAGGCTGCTGTGCAAACATTTCCAGCACAAACTGAAATCCATCCCTTAGGTCAAAATGTGGCCATTGCAGTCTCTATGACTTTTTTTTTTTCCCTCTCTCTCTCCTCTAGATAATTAGATAGATGAGAAATTCATTGCCCTAGAAAAGCAGTTTTGTGAACAAAATTAAGAGTTTCTGTTGAGGGCTTGATTCTTTTTCTGTTGAGGGCTTGATTCTTTTTCTGTTGAGGGCTTGATTCTTTTTCTGTTGAGGGCTTGATTCTTTTCTGGTCAGGGAAAGGAGGAGACTACTTTATGTCAGTAAATGTGAGGTTAGCTCAATTCTCCTTCCCTCATTCTGCAGCTCTTTGCTTGGCAGTCTCAGTGTTTCAAGGCTTGTCCAGAAAGTTAACTGACTGCCTGGAAAGATCCAGTCTGTTGAGCAGCATTGATCTCATGTGAAGACAGGATTCCCATTCTGCTCATTTTCAGAGTTTTAGGCTAATGCAGCATTTTCTCCCAATGAATATTGATTCACCTGAGTGAATTGGAAGGCTGACTTTTGCATGAGTCAGGGTTGCTTTGGCTGGTGAGACTTGGTGGGATTTGCCTTCGTTATGCACAGCCATGCTGTTTGTTAGGAAAGACATTTGTTTTGAGCTTATTTCTGCTACACTTTAATCAGTGCTTCCTGTAAAGAAATGGCTAAAATATTTTTTTTGACAGAAACAGTGTTTCGTTTTGATTTGTTACATATAAACAAGATGCTTGTGCTTTAATGTTCATACTTTCCTTAGCCTCAATGCTCTTCCTTTGTTCAGGGAAGTTTTGTTTTCCCCTGGCGCAGCAAGACAGTGAAAGCAGCCAGTTCCCTGCACTGAGGCAGAGACTGAGAGTTTGCAGAGGTTGTTAGGCTCTTTCATGCCTTTGGCTGAGTAAGTTTTCTGTCTCTACCCATGCTTTCTACCCATATACACACAGTCACACAGCGCGTGGAGAGGCAGCAAAAGGGCAATGCTCTTTCTGGAAGCACTCGTGTGACCGTAGGGCCCTGCCAGAAAGTCTGTCTTCCCTGGCTGCTGTGTATGACCAGAGCATGTCACACAGGCCCTGGCACAGACTCGATGTGAGATTTTGGCCATGCAGAATTTAAATGAGATACCAGTAATAATAAAAAGCTTCTGACCTCAGCCGATCTCTTTTAAATAAATATGTGTTCTTTTTCCATGGTTTTCCAGACCACACACTTAGGCCAGATTTTGAATTAATTTGTTTAAATTAATTGTTGAAATTAAATCGGGAGTTTGAAATAAGTTGTGTGTTTTTTTTGTTGTTTTGTTTTTTTAAATAAAGAGGAACAAAGAGGGTAATTTAAATATGTTTGGTTTTGGAAAGCACTATGAGAGAGCTTGGGTCTAAATTTCAGAACTGCTCCATTTCTCCTCAGTACGGTAACACAAATCTGTTTGTTTGTTTGTTTATTTATTTATTGTCAGCATGCAGATTCTCAGCCTGAGTCACCCAGAATGAATGGCCTCATGGATTCAATTCCACACAGTGGAAGCTGAATATCCAATTGCAGAGATAGAGAATATACTTTTGAAAATGTTGCATTTAAGTGTATTGTTTAACCACCAATGGAAAGCATTGTAATACAGGCATTTCAGAGTGGATCCTGCCAGAATTGGGAGTTTGATTGAAACAAGTTTGTACACATATATTTTGTTGCAGATATAAGGATTTTTACAGTTTATAGATGATGAGTGGTAGCAATCTGCCACTCTTGTCTTCTGTAAGGACAGTCTCATACAAAAGCTGTGTCAGGTTTCTCTGTGCTTCTTTGTGCTGGTGTAAAAAAAATTTGCCTATGCAGTCTTGTCTTTTTGCTGACAAAGCAAGCTAAGCTGTGCAGAACCAAAGTTACAGCATCACTATTTAACGAGAGAGAGAGAGATTTACCCAGGAGAATCTTCTGTATCCAGAATGAATCTGTCTGCCTTCCCATCCACCTCTTTAACCCTCTAAATTTCACATTCTAGAAGTTAACTCTTAACCCTGGACAGCTCGTGCATCTTCCTTGTTTCTGCGGAGAACTTTTAGGTCACCCTTTAGAGTCTGTCAGTACTGCTCCTTAGCCTGCTGGAAGCAACTCTGTTCCATGCAAAGGGTCCTTCCCTCCTGCATAGCAGCAAGTGCTGCCTCTGCAGCACTGCTGGGCCCAAGTTTGAGATCTGAATCACAAAAACCAGGAGTCAGAATGGAGATGTTTTTGTGTACACAGTGCTGCTCAGTCCTCTGGACCTGTTGAGCACATCTGGTGTCTCCATTCTCCAAGCAGCCAGAGCCTTCGGAGCACCTAGACTGAAGAACCAGTGAAGATCTCAGGGAGAGGGGTAGATTTTGGGTGGCAGCTGGTGCTACCCACAGCATTAGTCACTTAAGGTCAGTCTGATGGAATACAAGAAGTTTTTCAAATGTATTGCCTTAATAATTTCTAGATTTTTATATTTTATGGTTTGTGCGTATGTCAACAGTTCCTTTGATACAATTCTGTATTTCATCAGTTTTATCTGGTTTTTATGTCTGTAGTGATCCAGGACATGGTGTTTTTGATGTGGTTCTCACAAAGGACGTAGAGTTTCTCCCCTGCAATTAACTCAAAGGGTAGTGTATCCAGCAGCCCTGACTGGCATAGCAGGTAGAGAGAGCGTGTGAGCAGAGTGTGTGCATGTGTTGGAGTGCGTGAAAGGAGAGAGACAGGGAAGAGATGGAAAGAAATGAAGTTTGTCAGAGACTTAGAAGAGAGGAGACTATAAGAGCCAAGAACAGAATGAGAAAAAGGTAGGAGAGTAAAATACCAGCAAAAAGTATAAAAATAGAAAACTGGAAAGGAGTAATAGAATTCACAGCTAAATGGAATAAAGACGAGAAATAACCTAGACCCTGGAGCAGGAGAGATTAAAAAAATAAAATTAAAATTGGATCCTCTGGCAAGCTGGTGTGATATAGTGACTAATGTACTTTATTTAAAAGAAGAAGAACACTCAGCAGAAGAGTTATGGGCAGGGAGAAAGCAGCCTAAGGAAGGGCTAGAGGAGTAAATGCTGCAGTAGGCTGAGGAAAACCGTTTTTTTTATCTGCTTGGTCTTTGATTGTGGCACTTCTGCTACCATATTTTCTTTGCATAGGTTTATATGTGTGTGTACTCACATAATAGTTGTCATTATGTCCAATGCTTGCCAATACCAAATGTAAAATTGTTTGGTTTTACATAGTTTCTTTCTCTAAGGTATAACTGAAATCACTGCTTGATGTCTAGAAGCACATGCGGAGATTTTCCGGAACATTTCTGTACTTCCGACACTGACTTTTCCTAGTGCATGCATCTTATACTGTAAGTTAGTAGGTATCCCCACCTGTAATGCTGTTAGGAAACCTTACCTGTCAGACTAGAGAAATAAAAATGTAAAAGATGGAACTACTCTAAAAAGCAGAAGAGAGCACAGGAGGTCAAGAACAGTTGCCAGTGAAAAAGTAACATGATCAGCTCTTTGCAGCATTAAAACAGGGGGATAAAATTAAGCCTGAAGTATCTTGGTAGTCATTTAATACTCATCATTAGGACATTAGAACTGCAGGTAAACCAGTGCCCAGCTGTGCACCACAAGTAGCCAGGCTCAGATACAGAAACGATCCCCTTCTCGCCTTCCACTTTCTTAAACCAGTCGATCCTACCTCCTCTCTGCTAATCCAGCTGGACAGTCTTAAAATCAGCCCTTAGCTCTGTGGCCAGGCTGTGGAGAGAAAGCAGAGGAGGTGCCAGCCCCACGGGCTGCTCGGAGACCAGAGTGCAGCCCAGCAGGGCACCGCATGAGGTGTGTGCTGCAGGAGGGCGTCTTGTTTGTCAGCCAGCTTCACCATCTCCTCCTCCGCTTCTTTTTAAAATCTGAATTCACTATGTGCAATCAGGTCACCACTTCTGCTGAGGCTGTTTGTCAAAACGCCTCTTGGTCTGTGTCTGTCAGGCACTTCTTCAGCTATGGACAAGCA